TGGAACGGACAACAGGCGGAAATTATAGGCAATTAGCAAGACACCCCAATAAAGGAGTGGTTCTGCAGGTGGTGACCACAGACCACTTCTCAGTTCCTATGCTTCCAGTATAATGCACCATGTCACAAAGCTCAGATCATAATAAAACAGTCTTCATGAGTCTAAACGCTGCTGCTCTGTAGACTAAGTCCTCCCTCCATCTTTCTGTAGGTCTGTGGTAACCAGTGCAGGCTGTCTCAAAAACAAATCACCATAGTAGACGACACTTTTTGTCACAATCCGGTGGGGGCTTCCAAACATGACAGCTTGTCCCAGAAGGCAGAGGTCGTTATTGATGGTTGAAACTCTAAGATATTTAAGGCAGCAACTTCTCCACTTGGTTAATCTCCCCTCCACCTTTTCCACCGCTCCCTCACAGTTTTCAGTAGGCTAACTATAGGGCATATGTTTTGTTGATTAGATTTTTGTTATTTTTTATTCTTGAGTAGAGACAGTGTTGAACTATCATATTTTTCATGTGTCATCCATCATAGAAAACTGAAACTATGGGGTTGGCGATAGCGCAGTGGATAAGACACTGCACAACTTAGGTGTAAACCATCAACCTGCCTTTAAGACCCCATCCAGACCAGGCTGCTTAAAGACGTTTTACCCTTAGTTAGCATTTCTGTACTAGATATCAGATTTCAGAAACATTATAGTGTAGGCCTACCGTTTAACTCTAATATGAGAAGGTTTCTGTGGCCAAAAGTGCAAAATAGCTTCTGTATACAAGGCGACCGCTTGCATTCAACAAAACATGTAGTATGTATTAAATCCAGGGAGAGGGGCAGGTAACTTTTCTTTGAATAGGCATTACTTCAAAGGAAGTCATTTGAAAGCAGGCCTAGAAAGATAAATATGTGTTCACAATAGCCTTTACACCTGAGCGCTCACTGAACTTTACTGGAAGATAACTGCATCAAAACAGACACACAAGAGTCAAATTCTCATCACTACAACGATAGCAAAAGCATTTAAAGACACACCACAAGTTACAGTTCCTTGTGTTTTTTGGTGACAGCAGTCAGTGACATCTTTTTAGGTTAGTAACATTGGTATGTTGTCAGCTAACACAGACTAGTTTACAGGATTGTTAAAAACTTTTAGCAGGTTAGCTAGCATAGCGGTGCATTGCTGCACAGGTCGACGACACTTAGATGTCATTAAATCACTGAACCCGAAAACTACTGTATTTCTCTGAGTGACAAACAATCAGAAAGACTTAGGACACGACGCTAATCGTTTGATTTTGCGTTTTGATTTGTTTTGATTATTTTAATGACGCAAACAAAACTACAAAATGGTGGAATACACCTTCTCTTTGGTGCAACCTGTGTGCGGGGTACCGGGTGATTGTGATACGGTGTGATCTCTACCGAGCAACACAGCCAGATCTTTATTAGAAGATGGGGTAATGACTTCTAGGTAGCAGTATATACATTTGCTGTGGTTTTATTCCACAATGATCACATAATATCTTGCCTACAGTGGCGGGCAACAGATGAGAACACAAGGAGGACAGACAAACTACATAGTTCTTAAATAACCAACTGTTAAAGATTATATTTATGCTTTCACTTTTACTTACTAACAGGTCCAGGAAATATAATATTATCAGGGACATACTGTATGTATATATGTTACTGTGTTGTAAAGTAGGCCTACTTCGTACTTACAGGGGACTCCAGCAGCCTGCGGTGGTTCAGTTTTATGTGGCTAAATACTGCATCAGAGGCCAGCTAGAAACTTTTTATGTTTCTGAAGTGAAAACCAGGAGTGTTTATCTAACAGCTGTAGAAGATGATTAATGTGATGTACAGTAAATGTAGCGACTATACTTAAAGCAAAAACAAAGTAGTCGCTGAGAGGCTGAGTTGGGCCTTGTGCTGCTGTTTGTCTGACTCGCTGCACCAATAATTCGCGGCTCTCAAAATATAATCTATTGCTTTTTATTGACGAAAATATGCAACTTACTATAATGTGAAAAATGTATATTCAAAATAATCACAATGATCAAAAACTATAAAGAATACCACGGTCAACAAAAAATACAGCCCGATATCAGCACTGAATATAAGATATATTAGAATCTATAAATTCTTAAAATTTAACCTTCCTACATGTGTGTATCCATATACACTACTGGTACTCTGTCACTGAACAAATACAATCCAAAAAGATTAATGTTTGATATTTTGGAGATGTGGAGAGTTGCAGATGCTTGTTAGGGATATCAAACCTCCTGAAATGTGATTATAGAGCAGAGTTAAACAAGGTGGAGCAGCACTTTCACATTTCAGGAATTGTTGCATCACTAAATAAAACAAACTGTGTTTTTAAATGTTTGAAAAGATGGCTTTCCCTCAGAGGTGATCAAGTTGTGTAAATGTGATGTTTGTTTCTCCAGGAGAGCCTCGTGCCATTTGCCCGAATCCGACAATTGAGGCGGTGGAAGGTGATGCGGTCACTCTACCCTGTTATCTGGATCCCCCGCACAGCGTAGTGGATTATGCTGCCGATTGGAAAAGAGCTGACCTCAAAAAGGTCGTCTACTCGTACCGACACAAGCAGGAAAATCGCAATGACCAGATGGCTCAATACAAAGGCAGGACAACTTTCAACTTTGACAACCTGATAAGAGGAAACATGGCACTACAGATCTCCTCACTACAGCCGTCTGACAGTGGACCATACGAATGCTTTGTCTCAAGACTGTGGACCAGCTGTGGTGTTAATGTCACTGTTGGTGAGCATGCCGAGTTCATACAGTTTTAAGAATTGGGGAGTTTTTGACCCTGATTTGAGTCCTTTAATACTCCACTGAGTCTGATCTGATAGATTTTCTTGTGCAAAGAGATCCACAAGATTTAAATTTAATGTGTATGTCAGATTGAAATAACAGCTGTAATCTGTTAATTTAGCACCTTTATCCTTCATGAGCACACAGCTGGTCCCTTTTTGTTTGAGTATTTGAAAATATCTTAGTCTGTTTTCTTTTTTTAATCAGTGAGCAAAGACCAGCAGAACACGACAGAGAGAGATGATTACAGCGCGCCCAGACCTCCACTGGATGAGCCACACAACACTGGTAAATTACTTGATGGTGAAATTAGGTTGTTTTTTTTAGTTTGTTATTTAATTGTCTTTAAGAACAAGAAGAATTTTTTAGAGTTGAACAGCTAGTGTTTCCCACAGGGACTTGACTTGGACGGGTAGATTTGGCATTATTGCATGAGCAGTCGATCGACTAGCAGCTATGTACAGCGTGCAAACCTCGACAACCCAACGTTAACATAGCGATCCTTATTAGCTCGGATCCTTACATGCTGACTAATAACTTATTTAAAGGTGGCTCTGTGAGATTGACAGTGTTGTGTTAAGAAAAATTTGTGAGCGGTGTTTCATTCAGTTTGTGCGTGAAGAGTAGGGGCTATTCAGACGGGTCCCTTGTCCATGTGTTTTGTGAGAGAGAGCAAGAGGAGGGGCTGAGCTAATCTATGCACTGCTTCCAGCTCTATAACCGAATACGATTCCACCAATTTATGGTGCAGTAGTGTAAATATGGTTAAAACTAAAATCAAATGTGGCAGTCAGCGTTGATATTGTGGTTTGCTGCCACAAATAAATAAACGTATTGGCGGGGAAAACCAGGTTTGGGGAATCTCTAATTATAATAATCAGCTCAGTAATAACATAACATTGAACCTGTTTGTGGCTGATCATGGAGGGTCACTCTTGACACTGGGAACAGTAATGTGGCAGAACAGTTTTACAGAACTCCACTGATTTTTACACATCCATGTTTACAGTGTTAGGAAGTACTACTGCGTAGGTGAAAAGTAGTATGAAGACTTTTATGTCTCAGGCTACATCCACACTACTACAGTTTAATTTTAAAACGCAGGCATTTTCATAAAGGATAAATATAAAGATAAATGTCCTCACATGATGTCACTAGAGTTGGTGTCAGTTGCGGGTGAAAACTACAAGTCCGAAGATGAAATCTGGTTTTGTGGAGTTAGGAAGAAGTGAAATAATAATTTAATTTAGCACCTTATCCACTACGAGCCACTCAAACATACAGCCGGGTCCCTTTGTCTGACTGCTAGAAGATATCTGCTTTCAAAATACAGCCATGTGTGTCAATGTTCTTATTTCCCGTTCGATCGTCACTACAGCATCATTAAGATCTGTGGATTATGGGTTGCTCTGGATAATTAGGATTACTACTTGTCCTCCACTGTATTGTGGTGAGGCAGATGTCTTGGGGACAGAAATCTCAAAAACCAGGACAAATAAAACCATCAGTGTGGTTGAACACCACTACAAGTAATGAGAAAATGCTGCATGAGCTGTACACCAAACATGAATTAGTGAAATAAGTAAATAAATAGTGGAATAAATATCATAATGAGTCTGTGCTGGTTCTCAATTCAGTATCCTCTGATATCTCCTCCAGATGGTAGAAACAGAGAGACTGCCCGCGCTGTTATCATTTCCACTGTTGTCCTTCTTTTTGGAGTTCTGATTGTGGTTCTGGTGAAACGTGGAACGATCCGTAAGTTACAGAACAAACTCTCCCCCACTGACTTTTAGTATCAGTTAAAGACCTGCTGTGTGAGCGGGTTTGTTGCTGTTAGAAACTACAGGAGCTGAGATTAAAGAATAGGAAATATGTTACTTCTGCACGGCACAGACCCAGAATAATGCACATGTATAAATCTGCAACGTTGTTCTTCCATTCCATATTTATATATTTCTACATTTATTTATGTCGACTGTATGCTTGTCTACGTGTTGCACCTTATCACCACAGCAAATTCCTCGTATGTGTAAAACACTATTTGGCAATAAAGCTCCTTCTGATTCTGATGTTCTCAGAGAAAAGTATGACGAGGCTCAGAGGACAGGGGGAGCAAAAGTCGGAGGCGGCAAACGGCTGTGAGCTGAAACATCTGAGGACTTCATCAACAAACAGTGACCCCGATGCAGGCAACTTGAACAATGTGCAAGTAGTAAAGTGATGGCCCAAACCATCAGGTCATTTTCTTTAAAGAATATATTTGTTTAATTGTCAGCCCTCCAAAAATCAGCAACCTTTCATCCTTTTTAATATTAATCGTGTCTGTTGCTCTTATCCATAAATTCATGTACATGAGGGACGGTGCTATACACAAGAACAAAGATTGAAAGATACCAAAGTTAGCCTGAAACTGGTGTAAGTTATCTTTACCAATTTTCAGTCACACAGAACCTCAGGTCATCTTACTGACAGATACTAAACTGAGTTGGTTTCTCTGGAGCTGCACTCAAACGGTTCATCTCAAACTCATCTGACAGAAAGTTCACTGTTTACATTAACAATTACTCTGGTGTCCCACAAGGGGGCGATCTTTGGACCTGTTCTGTTTTCTCTGTAGATGCGACCTCTGGGTCGACTCCACTGGTGTCTCTGAACATTGCTATGGCGATAACGCACAGCTTCGCTTCTCAGGGAATGACCTCAATAACGTTTATTCGTATAGCACATTTCAACAACAAGGTAATTCAAAGCGTTTTAACTAAAACTTAAAAGCCACATAGAGAAATATAAAGTTAACAAACTAATGTTAATAGACAATTAGAAATTTAAAACGGGACAGTTAAAGTTACAGTTCAAGTTATTAATCTACAGCATTGTTTGGTTTAATTAGTGGCAGTGATAAAAGAAAAGTCTTCAGTCTTGATTTTAAAAGAACTGAAAGTTTCAGCAGACCTGCAGTTTTCTGGGAGTTTGTTCCAGATATGGAGAATAGAAATTGAACACTGCTTCTCCAGGTTTAGTTTTGACAGACAGGAAGCCAGTGTAAAGACCTCAGAACTGGACTGATCCACTTTTCTGGTCTTAGTGAGGACTCGAATCAGCTGCAGCTGTCTGATTCAGGTTTTAGGGAGATCTGTAAAGACACCGTTACAGCAGTCGAGTCGTTTTGAAGATAAATGTATAGACACGTTTTTCCAGGTCCTGCTGAGACATAAGTCCTTTAATCCTTGAAATATTATTCAGGTGATAGTAGGCTCACCTAGTCTTTATGTGAACCCCTCATCACTACACTCGTTCAGTAAACCAAACCTACATTTTAAGCCAAACACATGAAACTTCTTGTGCTCATCCTAATCTGTTCTTGTTTAGACTGGAACTTCTCTTTACCTTCATTGCACTCTGCTGAAACTCTACAGGTTGGCCTTCTATAAAACACTGTTTGCCTTAAGTTTTGTTTATTGTGCCTTAATCTTTCTGTGTATCATGTGTAATGTATATGTGTATATGTGGTTGCTGATGTACTGTATGTGTATTTAAACTTGTCTTGTATCCTATTTGTGAAGCACTTTGACTCTTAAAGCATTATTTGAATTAAGAATAAATTCATCATTGGACTCCTAGCAGCTTTTTTATAGCGAGTTTAATTTGCTTCCCTCGAGGCGGCGGTTTTAAGAAGATATACTTTATTTTTACGTCCTTACAGGTGAGACAAACAGGTGCATGCGTCACGTTTGCTGGGTGCGCAGAGCAGGTGAGAGCCTAAAGACGTGACAGAGAGAGCAGAGGTCTAGTTCCAGAGTATTTAATCCAGGGCTAGACAGACAGGCATGAACAAAAACTCACGGGTACAGGGAACTGGTACATCCAAAAACAGAACGGGAAAGTAGCAACTTGCAGAACAGACAACCAACTGAGCATACATGCGACAATGATCAGACAAAGACTAAGGGGAAACAAGCAAGGATATATACACAGGGTTAACAAGCTGGGAGGGAGTACACATGTGAGGGACATGAGACTAATGAGACACAGGCAGGCGAGAGAGAGCGGGGGAAAACAGAGAGACTCACATGTAGAGGGATTACCGGGGTAACAGACACAACAAAGGTTACTGAACACTAAACACAGACATGAACCGAGACACAGAATGAGGCGCAAAGACAGAGAGCTAATCCTAAAATACAAGACACATACTAGGTAAACTTAAATGGATGAATAAAATAATAAACAAGGCTACACGGAAACTAAAGCAGAAAGGTCAAAACTAACCGGATCATAACCCCACAACCACACACAGACCGTAACAGACCAACCAGCACAAGCACACAGAGTAACTGGACACAAGAAATAACTGAAACTCAAAACACAGACTAACTATATAACAGATACTGGACACCGGGCAATAGACAGGACAGAACCCAAAACATACTAACAAGACTACGAATAACATGACTGAGAACCAAAACAGAGCAGACACACCCACAATGTGACAGCATGAGGTATTTTATTCCATGAGCTATTGGCTTTTTAAGTAAAATGATATTTGACCTGTGATTAGCTGAAGAGCACAAGGAATCAGTTAGAAAACCATCTGATCATCAGTGTTTTGTTAGACTCAGAAGAAGTGTTTCCAGCTCCCTCTCAACGACTGAACAAATGTAGAGAAACACCTCTGTGAAATAAATTCCACAGTGTTTTCATCAGGGAAAAGAATCTGAAATCACCTGGACTCTGAGTTTCACCAAATCATTTATCTTGTCCCACTACAAACTTTAGAAGTTGTTACTTTTCTGCATCTTTCCTCTCAGAGCCTGTTCACCCTGTTTAACACAATAGGTCCATTTTAGCAGCAGAATCAGAGACCAGCAAGGGTCCTGTTGATCCAGTTCAGCCCATTTTGAGACCCATCTCAGGGAAAGGGTCCCCCAACCATAGATTAAAGGCTCCTCCAGGGGCCCAAACAGTGAGGCTGTGTGTTCCAGTCTGCACCACTTAAAAAGAATCCAGGTTCTAAACAGTCCTTGATAGAGATGGGTTATAACGCAGGTCATACAAAGATTTAAAAACACAGCCTCTCAAAAATAAAGCAGCTTCTGAACCCAGTAGAGGGACTCAGTGCTCACGAAATCTCCACAGGAGAGTCTCAACACGTTGCTCTCCGTCCCTCTTTCAATAAGTATGTGGTATCAGCGCAGGTCGCAGGGCTGGCTGCTGCCAGATAGCAGTAGAGAAGACAAAGAATAAAGTCTATGAGGCAGACTTCTGCAGTCATCTGGAACAGGTCTATATGGGGACCAGCATGGTGCAGCTTGGTGGAGAAAACTAGTGCACGATTAATAACTGCAATAACTTCATGATGGAAGGGAACTGAAGCTCCTGAGTATTGATCTGTTTACTGCAGTAACAGTTAGGTTTATTTTTCTCTTCTTACTGATTTCATATTCTTTAAGTTTAATGTTTGTGGCTGATGTCAGATTTATAATCTTGTATGGGTTTGAGATGTATTTATCGGCTGATTTTCAGAGAATGAATGATTATATGATTCCAGATTACTAGTCAGTGTGTAAAAAGCGTGCTCTACGAGCCGCAACCAGACTCTGCACCACATCCGTCTGGCCCTGACCCAACATCTGACTCTTCCTGGTCTTCCAACCTGCTAGCCTCGCTGCCCAGAATAAAAAATTAATTAAAACCAAAGTCAGTTTAGGACCTACGATCATACAGTAAAAACGTAGGCGTGGGGAAAAAAAAGTTGGAAATCACTCACAAACTCTCAGTCACCACACCCTATGCACAGAGAAAGAGTGACTCAGCCAATTTTTTTCGCGAGTCAAATGCTTTCAGAAACACATAGGGTGTGGATATACAACACAACCCCTTGTGCTGAACAACAGGAAACCGGGCCCTGACCATAATACACGCTGACACACTTCACACTTTTCTGAATACAGTCACACACACACTCACATGACAGCCCTTAAGGCACACTAGAAATATTCTACACCTATTGACAACTTCCATATAAGGTAACATGGGATGTGCAGCTGGGTGATGTCTCATCAACACACATACACAGCTTAGCGGAAGAGCAGTCAGACCCTTACTTAGGTAGCGTGCAGGAAGTGTCTCCAGATATATCTGTATTAATAAAGGTGTGGTTTAAATCAGTCTCCTCTAAGTCCTTTTACATGAAACAACTTGGGGAAGTCGTTGTACTTCAACAAGGGGAGAGCAGGGGCGAAAGTACCATTTTTCAGAAAAACCTGATTTTAAAAGATAATGTTTCAGACAGAGATATATTTTTGCTGTGGTCACTAACAGGTGTGGTCTATCAATATCAGATGGTATTTTGTACAAATGTAGAACGACTTCCGTATAATTTCCCTTTAAATAAGTGGCACATTGTTACATTCGACCCCCTCAGCTGGGACAAAGGTAACACACAGGTGGGTCAAAAGTAACACAACAATACCATCCATCCATCGTCAACCGCTTATCCCGCATACAGGGTCGTGGGGGGGCTGGGGCCAGTCCCAGCTGACATCAGGCGAAAGGCAAGGTACACCCTGGACAGGTCGCCAGTCCATCGCAGGGCCACACATAGAGAGACAACCACTCACGTGCACACCTAAGGACAACGGTCACCAATTAACGTAGCCTGCATGTCTTTGGATGGTGGGAGGAAGCCGGAGCACCCGGAGAGAACATGCAAACTCCACACAGAAAGGCCGGGGCAACCGGGGTTTGAACCCACAACCTTCTTGCTGTGAGGTGACTGTGCTAAACACTGCACCACCGCGCCGCCCTGAAGAAAAGTTTAGTTTAACAAAAAAATATATATAAACTATACTATATGGAGAAAAGTATAGTTTAACAAAATTACTACTTATGTGAAGTACTAGTATCTCAAATATTCAGCACTTGTAAGAAGTATTAACCACGGTGGAACATGTTTTATTGTTTTACAACATTGAATCAAAGCAGATTTAAAGTCACAGTGAAAACAGAACAACAAAATGATCAAAATGTTTAACAAACATAAATACATGTTGTATTCACAGCCTTTAACAGGACAGACCTAAATGATCACAGGTGCAGACAGTCTGTTTCAGAAGTCACGTCATTAAGTGGAGATCACCTGTGTGCAGCCATGTGGTTTCAGCTGATTGTAGTATAAACACACCTGAACCTGGACGGTCGTTTTCATGTAACAGCGTTGAAAAGTCAAATTAAATCTAGGATTCAATAAAACATGAAAACTTCTAAAGGGGGTGAAAATACTGTTAATCAAAGTCAGATTATTTCAGATAATAGTTTTCCTCTGACAGTAATATGAGTCGTATTTACAAACTGTAGCTGTCAGCGCGTCTGATTGTCCCTCACCTTATGATGTAACTTTAATCTCTCACATGACATGTGGTGGAAGTGCTATAGTCTTGTATTTAAGAACAAAAGTATCATCAGCAAAATAAAGTTCCTTTTCCTTAGTCCTGCCAGAGATGACTAATGAAACGTTCCTCAGTATATAATGAAGCGTCAGAGGTCTCTTGTCTTTCTGTGAGTCATACCTTTGTGGAGAAACCCCGACTAGGACTCAACCATCACCAATGACAGAAGGTATGGTGGCTGTATTGGTCATAGTTTTTGTGCACTTTCTGTAATAAAGAAATAATCTAAAAGCTAAAATCCTGTCAGATGGACCCTGGGACAAAATCTTATACTCTGTCCTTTAGGACCCTCTCAGATTTATTTGCTGTCTCTCTTGTTTATCAATGAAAGTGATCGAGTTCTTGAACTGAACAGAATGAACATAAAACCATTAGTGTCTGTACCAGGGCAACGTTTCCTTGCCTCACAATCACCTTCTGTCAGCAGGCTAACTTATTTATGTTTGTTGGTTTGTTTCCCTTACCCATTTTAAGAGGCATCTGTTTGTTGTCATCTGAAATGCTGCTGTGATGGTTGGGTACAGTCAGAGAGAGAGAGAGAGAGAGAGAGAGAGCAACCAACTCGGAGAGAGAGAGGAAACAAGACCGAGGAGGGGACAGAGAGAGAGAGAGAGAGAGAGAGAACAAACAAGAGGAGAAGGGGAGGAGAAACCAAGGCCAAGTACAAGGGAAGTCTCAGGAAGAGAGATGACTCAGAAAGTGTATTTATCATCTTATTTGCAGAGAATCCTTCTGAAATATTGCACAGAAACAGACTGAAATGTAAAACCTGAGAAAGTTTTAAAGTTCCAGTTTACTGAGTTTGTGTAAGATAGGGAACTACTTTGACTCTTACTGAGACCAGTTATTTTATGTTTACATGTGACTGGACTGTTTATCTGAGCATTGCTATCTCAGACACTTGGAGAACTACCCTGTATGTAGTAGGCCTATTGTGCTAGTAGGTCAATATTATTCTCTACACTGTCAGAAATAGGGGTACAGTAGGAGTCCATTTCTGTCCCCCAAGGTACAATTTAGACTAATGTACCCCATAGGGCTTATTATTGGACCTCAAGGTACATGCATGTACCTTTTTGAGGCTCAAAAAGGTTAAAAAATGATTAAAGTTACTTTTTTTTTTACTGTAATTTTACATTGCGGTCTTATGCATTACTGAAATGATGTGACAATATGCAGTTAAGACCAGAAATCATATATAAAGACAGACAGGCTTCAACACCTCTTTTGGATTTGGACAGAGTAGTGGGAGAGGTAGCCTACAGAATGGGACGTCCATTCATCAGGTGGCACGGGACATGACGATCAACAAGATGACTTTAAAGCGACACATTGATATAAAACAACTAGGAAACATAGCTGCAATGTTTCACTATCTAAGTGCAAATAAATGTTGGGAACATCCTTTTCTGCCTGGAAGGTGATTCTGTCTGTGCTCACAGTCCCCTCCCCTCTTTCCACGGTCCTGCCCCCACTCCCATATGAAGAAAAGAAAGTCAGAAAACAGCATGAAACATTCTCATTGAGAGCCTTATGTTTGGAGCTGCTTTTAGACTGATTGAGTTGATCATGGAAGGGACACATGTAAAGCTGCTCTGTATTATACTGTTTGCAGAAACTGTTACAGGTAAGTGTGAGTCCTTTTTATTAGGCCACTGATTTAATATTCTTTAAGGCGCTCATATTGGCACAAATGGGCAAAAATTTAAAAGGAGGGTAATATTGTAAGCCCTATATTTTTATGGATTTAAAATCTAGCTAAAATATTATTCAAGTTAATAATGAAAATTATGTCTGCCGAGAAGTTTAGGAAGAAGATTAAAAAAAAAAACAGTAGGCAAAATCTTTGTTAATGTCTTTCAAAATGTTTCAAAAGGTTCCTCTGTACTGGGATCTGTTGGTCCAAAAACGGGAATAGACTGCACTTTTTGTCACAAACCGTTTGGAAACCAAACATGGCAGCTTTTGTCAGAAGGTACAGTTTGTTAGATAAAACTCTTCCTCTTTAAGATATTTGTGGCAGGAACAATTAACCTGCCCTCAACCTTTTCCACCACTTCCTCACAGTGTTTAGTAAGTTTGGCGCATATGTGCTGTTGTATTAGCAAATGTTGTGTTGATTAGACTGAAATCTAGGATATTAATTATATTAAGGTAAACGTTATTTTCATTGGGGTGAATGGAGACAACATGACTGTTTTATGTTTTCATGTGTGCTCAAACAGAAAACTGAAACTATGAGTGCTGTTAGCCAGTATGTTTCTTTTCTAGTTTAACTTGACTATTTTGTATAGTAGTACAATAACACATTCAAGAAGATGTAAAATGGATTAGGCAATTAGCCTGGACTTTAGGTCCACACAAGCAAGAAGGGAGAGCTGGGATTGGACTACTTTGACGTCAGCACGGACTGATTTGGGGCGTGTTCTTTTATAAAGAGTGTGTGTGACCCGTCCTATATGCTATTTATACAATCCATGTCTACGCAACGTTTGTAATGTCAGTATTTTGAGAATACTCGCACAGACTGGTCTTTAAACATTGTATATTGTAAGAAGTCGACCATGGCGACGTTCCCACCGCCGGACAACTTTGATTTCAGTCATCGGGAGTTCTGGCCTGAGTGGAGGCGGAGGATCCAGCTACAGAACGGCGACCGAGCTCGACAAAGACGAGGAAGTGCTTGCGTGGACCGTGTTGTGTTAGTTGGGAGGAAAGCGGTAAATTAATTTAATGTGATTCATGAGAGGGCAAGAATCCACCAGGGGACCCAGGGTGAAAATGTGGAGGGATCTTTGGTGCCGGGAAGAATGAGAATGAGACAGATCTTGTGGTCGGTGTCCTGGACACAGAATTGTCACAGAAATTGTAAATAATGTCGGATTTAAGCTCGGAGAAGGCGTGCAGACAAGCTAGACAGTCGGAAAGATCAAGATTGAGATCAGAGACACAGCCTGGTGTGAGGTGAAGCAAACATGGAAATCTCTGTGAAGCTCTCTCTTGTTGACTATTCATTTTGGTTTGTACTTGTCTTCGTCCTAACTTGCACTTGAGGTAAGTAAAAGTAACCCGAAACTATAAAACTTTAAATAATGAGTTAGGCCTAGGGTGAAGTCAGGTAAAGTTGGTTTGCCTTTTAAACATCCCAAATCAGTTAGAATGTATTAAAATTGTATGTAGTTTTTTTAAAATAGGTTGTTGTGAAGACATCTATGGTGAAATTAAGCCAATTTATTGATTTATTATCAAATTGTTTATCTTTAAACATCATCTGTCACCCTCTTCGGCAAACTGGAAGCAATCAGGTTGAGTGGGACACTTTGTTAGATAAAGTGGGACACTATTAAGTTAAAATGAAACATTAAACACATGAGAAATACTTTTTACAACATATAATAACATAATAATCATTTTAATATTATATTAACATTTAACAGCATATATAATGTTAGTGTACAGTAACACAGAGATATAATTTAGTAAAAAATATTCAACAATGTGTGGGGGAAAAAAAAACAAATCATGTTTGCAAGTAGCCTAAAGGCAAAATGTCTTTAGTTTATTAATACTAGGCTATGTAAGAGTTATTAAATGCATTTTTGAAACTATTTGGGGCTTTTACCTGATGCCTCTCTTCAGCCCTTTCACTCACTTTTGTAATGTCAATATCAGGGTGTTCCATGCCTTGGCTAAAAACCTTACTTTAGGTTCCTGTCCTTTATATTCCTCAACGTCGCTGCCATTTTCTCTTCCCTCCAGTTTTCTTCCCTTCCTACATTGTTGTCCTACCTTCTCCGCATCCTGTCCCCCTTTCACTAATTCCTCTCTTTCTGTTAATCTTTTCTTTGCATGGGGGCCATTTTTTGTGTAGCCTAGTGTATTTAAGAAATTACCAACCATTGATACTCAGATACATTATTCTTACCAACAACTTTAAAATGTTATCTTTTTTTTCATGAAACTGCAGCACTGTGCTTACTAGCATTAGCATTAAAAGTGTCCCACTCAACCTGAAACGCCCTGTCCCACTTTATCTAACACTGTCAGGTTGATAAGGCTGTAAATCTAATTTTCAAATATTTGATCCAGTTACATCCTTATTGTAATTAATCTCTAATCTACAGACAGTATAAAGACATTTAAAAGCAAAAATGTTATTGTTAAATCATAAATGACTGAATTATCATCCTTGTAATTTTATATAGATTTCCACTTGCCGGGTGGTTTACCACGAGGTCCCAGGAGTCAACCAATTTGAAAAAGAACTACGGGACCACTTCTTGATGTCCCACCAATCACAACCTCTGTTTCATATCCAATAGACATTCAACAACAACACAATAACAATTGTTGTGATTGGCTTACAAAATTAACCCTGTATAGTACTCATAAGCTGAAGTGTCCCACTCAACCTGAATTCACCTGTTATTGTGATTATAAAACATAATTTTTTTAAATACGTAAGCTGTTTTTAAATAGGCCTATAAACTGTGGTACTAAAACACTTTTTGTCGTGAAATGTGGCCCCCGTGGGTCCGTGTGTTAATTTACCCTAAATCACACGTCTGACGAAGAATTTCAAGCAAATAATTAAGAGTGGTTTATTTGGATTTCACTACATTATAACGTTAATTGTAATACGTTATTAATAACATTGGCCATAATTAGCCTATTAAGGAATTTTGTGTGTGTGTGTATATATATATATATATATATATATAAATACACTATACACACACACATTGGTATTAGTAGAAAATCAGCAGTTTCAATCTCGGGGCGGAGACGTCTATTCTTAACAGCTTACAATAAAATAAAACTAAACCAACCGCAATTAATTTTTGGGTAACAATAATTTACTGCCATGAAAAACGCAGTGAGATTTTTATCTGTATGTGCTGATCTAAAAAATGTGAGTTTGTAGCCTAATGTTCCTGAAAATGTTGTGTAGCCTATTTCATCATGAGTCGTAGTAAAAATCTGGTACAGTAGGTGGCGGTATGCACCTAAACAAGGCGGTTTGCGACCCGCCATAAACCCAGAAGAAGAATGTACTTCCTGTAGTTTGGTGCATCCCGAACTACCCGACTGGGACTACAACACCTTGATTTATACAGTTTTGGTTTTACTCCGCACGTTGTAACGCTAACCTTACAGAGTAACATCATTTCCCTGTTAGCTGAAAACAGTAAGTTAAAGGAGTAACTGTTAGCAAGAATGCTAAGCTAACGTTAACTTAACGGTATACCTTATAATTAGATTACCTTAAAGTTGTCAGCACTAACGTTAACGTGTTTTTAGGTTTGTAAGACTGGTATGTTGTTGAAAACGTTTAGGAAATACAGCTAATATTAGCGGTAGCATTGCTAAAACTTCCACTTGCCCTGAATGTTTTTTGAAAAGCCCCATTTAGCCATTATTCTGATCATGAATTAAAGCCTTTGGCAATAATATGGCATTGTTGGTCTTCTGTCAAAGCAGCAGATTTAACATTATTCAGTATTACAGTGAGCGAGATATTGTGTATATGTTACTTTCTGTTTTGGCAACATTGTTCAACCTAAACATTCATCCCAATAAACTGCGTTTAATTGAAAAATGAGAGAGGGAGTCTTGGGTTCAGCTTCAGGGCTTGTCAGACTCTGCTGAATTGTTCCAAGCAATAATCCAAAACATTTCAATATAACTGCTGATGTACAAGAAGTAGAAGTATGAGGATATTTCTACAGTAAATAGCTGGAGTGAAAACCAGGAGTGTTTATCTAACAGCTGTAGAAGATGATTGATGTTATGTCCCGTCACAGTTGTTATGTACAGTAAAGGACACAAACACGACAGTCACTGAAAAACTTTGAGTCAATGCACACCATTTAAAATACGGTCTTTTAACAGCTAAACTAACGTAAAACACTCTCACCTAGTAGAGTAGATGTGCTGCACAGACTAGCGCCTCCAGTACAAAACATCTGTATAATGTCCTCTGCTGAGGTGGCACTCCCTTTAATATGGTGGACACTCGTTAGTGACCTGTGTGGCTCTCACTGATTAGGCTCATTATAGTTAAAATAGGAGTGTAAACTGTTTTTAAGTTCCTCCCGAACACCAGATTATTTCTCAGTAGGTCACACTGTACTCTGTAATATTAGAATATCTACAGTTTCCACATTATTACTCCTTAACTTCATAACGTGTTCCTGCATGTATCTGTACGCACTGTGCTGAGATTTACAGTTCAGTGTGGAGAGTTGCAGATGCTTACTAGGTACGAGATCTTGTCACACCACTACTGCCAGGTATATAAACTTTGCCAGTACATCAAATTATTCAGGTTAGGAGGACTGTCTCCGGATCTGATGAAGCAGCTGAGTGAACGAGATGGAGCAGCACTTTTACTTTTAAGGAATTGTTGCACCACTGAACTAGAAAAACAGAAAATCTGTGTATTTAAATGTTTGAAAACCATCAAGTTCAAGTTGTGTCAATGTTTGTTTGTTTCCCCAGGAGAGCCTCATGCCATTTGCCCGAATTCGAGAATCCAGGCGCTGGAAGGTGATACGGTCACTCTACCATGTTATCTGGTCCCTGCACGCAGCGGTGGATCGTACTTTCGATTGGAAAAGAGTTGACCTCAACAAGGTGGTCTACGCGTACCGGCACAAGCAGGAAAATCCCAATGACCAGATGGCTCATTACAGAGGCAGGACTACTGTTAACCTTGATGACCTGAGCAGAGGAAACATGACTCTGCAGATCTCCTCAGTGCAGCTGGCTGACACAGGACCGTACAGCTGTTTTGTCCCAAAACTGGAGACCAGTTGTGTTACTGATCTCACTGTTGTTGAGCAAGGTGAGCTCATACAGTTTCAGATACTATAAGGTTTGTCAGAATTGGAGATAATTATCCTAATTAAGTTTGTGGCTTAGACCCTGATTTGAATCCCTGCTTCGTTTCGCATTTGAATTTGTCTCCGTCACAACTGGCAAACTCACACACAAAAAAAATCCCATAATGCACTTTGTCCCCCCACTGTTATTTCAGCGGGTCATGATGTATTTCATTAGTCACGTTTCTTAAACGAGGACCTCTACTAAAACATGCAATGTCACATCCTGTCTTAATATGTTAATGTGTATGTCAGATTAAAAAAACCTGTTAAATTTAGCACCTTATCCTTCACGAGCTACTAAAGCACACAGCAGGTCCCTCTGTTTTGACTGCTAGAAGATATTTTAATCTGTTTTCTTAGTACTGACAACAGTTTTGTCCACCTTTTTTTAACAGTGACCAGCACAACTAGACCTCCGCCAGATGAACCGAGCAATCCTGGTAAATTACTTTATGATGAAATTCTGTTGTTTTTCATTGGTTATTTGTCTTTTAGTATTTTTGTAAATGTGCCGTTTAAGTTTGAACAGATTTCTCATAAACTTATAGCCATTTGCGGATGAATTTTGGCTCGTTTGTCCACTGTCCTTCCCATTTTCAGCAAGCAACCGCAGAAGCACAGATTTATAGGAAATAGGCAGCATCGAGTCGCCGTCGACGCTGCCTTCAGAACTGACCGTGAGGGGCAGTTTGAAGGCATCTTAGGAGACAGGAATAGATAATTTGATCGGTTACGAACAGCATTCGATGCCTCGCTGTCCTGTTAGACACGTCCTGAGACAACATTTTTACCCGTTTCAAAGGCAGCCTATATCTCCTGATTTTCTTTCAGATGGGGACAACAGGCAGCTTATTGCCATTGTCCCTTCCACTGTCGTTGGGATTGTCATCATTATCTGCGTTCTCGTCGGGGTTCTGGTGAGACGTGGAATGATCTGTAAGTTACAAAACAAACTCCTGTCCCACATATTCTTATTAACATTTAAAGCCCTGCTGTTGTGAGCAGGTTTGCGGTGGCTGATTGTGAAGCTACAAGATTTCATTGTGTTCACACCAACTTCCTTTAAGAAGTGTTTTAAACTTGTGTCCATGTTCTCATAGAGAAATATATGATGAGACTCAGAGGAAGGACGGAGCAAAAGGTGGCGACGGCTGTGAGCTGAAACATCTGAGGTCTTCATCAACAAACGATGGCCCTGATGACCGTGATGCCGACCTGGACCCTGATGGCCCTGATGACCGTGATGCCGACCTGGACCCTGATAGCCCTGATGACCGTGATGCCGACCTGGACCCTGATGGTCCTGATGACCGTGATGCTGAATGCTGACCTGGACCCTGATGTCCTGATGACCGTGATGCTGACCTGGACCCTGATGGTCCTGATGACCGTGATGCTGACCTGGACCCTGATGGCCCTGATGACCGTGATGCTGAATGCTGACCTGGACCCTGATGGCCCTGATGACCGTGATGCTGACCTGGACCCTGATGGTCCTGATGCAAACAACTTAAACAACGTGCAAATAGTACAGTGTTGGTCCGGACTTTGTTTGTCTGTGATTGGCTGTCGAAAATTAGCGCAGATGACTGAACCCTTTTTAAGTCACAAGATAAAGTATATTTTTTTTAAGGATATCTTTTATAAATATATTTTTTTAAAGCTCACCAAAAATCTTTGCATTATGGAATCAGGGACCTTATCCACATGGTTCATTTGTTTGTAATTGCATCACTTTGTCATATACATACTTTAACATTTAACTCTTTAAAATTTTTTTAACTCTTAACATGTTTTTTATCTTGGCAGGGTAGGATCTGTACAAAATCATTAAAGGGAGCCTGACTGTAGACCAGCAGTACAAGTTTTATTTTGGTCGTATGCTTTAATCTTTCTATGTAGCCTATTGTATGTGTATACATGGTTGCTGATGTACTGTATTTGTATTTGCATTTGTGTATCATATCTGTGAAGCACTGTGTGACTGGCTCTTAAAAAGCATGATTTAAATCAAGAATAAAAGTATTATTATATTATTATTATTATTATTATTATTATTATTATTATTATTAGACTCCCAGCTGCTTTTATATAGCGAGTATAATTTGCTTTTCTCAAGGTGGCGGTTTTACCTCCCTACAGGTGACACAAACTGTTGTATGAGGTCTTTTATTCCATCAGCTAGCAGGTTTAATCCAAAACTTTTGTCCCTGTTTGGTATTCAAATTTCTCGGGGGGGGCAGATTAATCTTCTTGAAAGGTTTGTAAGAAAACCTCATGTCTTATAAAACAGGTGGAAGAAATAGGTGGTGGCAGCAGTAGAGGTTGTTTGTAGTAGAAATAATCTCATCTGAATACTTGGCATCTGTAACAAATGTCAATTTAATTAATATGTTGTTGATGGTTTTAATCTGTACTTGATACTGAATAGCCACCCTATGCTAACACTTTGGCGCCGCCTACAGACGAAAATTACTTTAGTCAAATGTGAAATACCAGAGTAATTTTATCTATAAGAACTATGGAAATACTCAAAGTCCTGTTTCAGAAACTTACACAAAAGCAAAGAGGAGCTGTAAGTGGTCTAAGTAGCCTACTCTTATATTTAAACTTCAGACATCTGAAGCTGTCTGATAAATAAAGTAAGTATTTTTTTAACTGTACAGTAAGTACAGTTGACTAAAAATACAAAACTACTCTTTCTAATGAAGAAAAGTATCCATCCATCGTCAACCGCTTATCCTGCGTACAGGGTTGCGGGGGGCTGGAGCCAATCCCAGCTGTCATTGGCGAAAGGTAGGGTACACCCTGGACAGGTCACCAGTCCATCGCAGGGCCACACATATACAAACAACCACTCACGCTCACATCCACACAAGGCTACTAATAACGTAGCTGCATGTCTGTGGATGGTGGGAGGAAGCCGGAGCACCCGAGAGAACATGCAAACTCCACACAGAAAGGCCGGGGCAACCGGGGTTTGAACCCACAACCTTCTTGCTGCGAGGTGACTGTGCTAAACA